CGAGGCGGATCAAGAAGAAAAAAGAGACAACTTCGCAAACAAATAAGATTGGGTTAAACTTCATTAAGTCACCTATCCAAAGTAGGAGGAATTTATCTGTTCGTTATACGTAGTAGACAGTTTAAAATGAATCAACTCGAGAAATTAAGGAAAAAACGCGCTTCGATAAGAGCTAGTGCGACGAAATTAATTAGTAAAATCGATAGTCTAATTGAAAGCGACAATAGAGAGACAGAAACTAATGTAGATATACTGGATCAGTTGAGTCGAAAGAAAGAGTCATTGAGAACCTTAAACGGGGAAATTGAGGGTTTCGTTACTAGCCCAACTGATTATGACACTGAGATAATCAATAGTGAATAATATGAGGACAAAATTATAAGTTGTAAATTTAAGATCCGGTCTTGTATTAAACGATTAAAAGCAGATTCGTCCGTGGTCACAGTGACTTAGGGCCCCGTAGTTCGAAATAATTCTGCTAATATTAAGTTGCCAAAAATTCCTCTACCGAAATTATCTGGAAGGTATAAAGAATGGAGTAACTTTAAAATTCAATTTGATAATATCATTTCGTCAAGCGAGCAACTGTTGCCAGAACAAAAACTACATTATTTGAAGGCTGCTATCGTAGGGGAAGCTAAGAGTTTAGAAACGTTAAACGATTCGTTTGCTTCATTGTTTCAAGCGCTACAAGAAAGGTACGAAAACAATAAACCCATGTTAATGCGATTCTAGACTCTGTAGAATTACCTTATGAGTCAGCAAGAGGTTTGAGGAGTTTAATTGATAGCATCAATAGGAATATGCGAGCACTAAAAGTCTTAGGATATGAAAGGAATGAGCTTTCTGATATCTTAATTTTAAATATCGTACTTAAAAAGCTGGATAAGGAGATTCTAAAACAGTATAAGTTCAGTATCAGTTCGAATGACGTTCCTAAACTAGATAATTTGATTTCATTGTTGGTAAAGCATTTTCAGATTTTAGAAAATATTAATAAGACCACGTTCGTGAAACCAAGGTGTAGTCAAGATAGAGTTAAACCGAAAAGCTTCTTCGTGAAATGTAACAATTCTATGACCTATTGTATTTTATGTAAGCAAAATCATCCTGTTTACACTTGTGATTCCTCTTTACGGCTGGAAGCCTCCCAAAGAAACGATGTTGTGGCCAAAAACAATCTCTGTTTCAATTGCTTAAGTGATCGGCATGTGTTATCCAATTGCAACTCCAAGAGCTGCTATAAGATATGCCGAAAGCGACATAATACATTACTGCACCGAGAGAAACAAGCTATGACTGGTTCAAATGTGCCAGTGGTCGACAGCAAACCGACTCCAATGAAGCAAGACCTTAATCCCAACGCAATAGAGTTTCGTGAGAGTATACCTCACTCACTGTCATGCATTGACAATGGAAATAAGACAGTAATTCTCTCGACAACCATAGTTTGGGTTTTAAATCATACTACCGGAGCCAGCATTCAAGCACACGCAGTATTGGACTCGGGCAGTATGCCAAATATTGTTACTAGGGATTTCATAAGTCGTCTGGGTACCCCGCAAGAAAGAATCGATCTCACAGTCTCCAGTATAAGTGGAAATAAAACCTCGGTCAAGTTTAAGCTGACTGCCACAATAATAAACGGAAATGGATCTTTTTCTAAGAAGCTAGAGTTCTTAGTGGTGCCAAGGATTACGGATTTACTCCCTGTTTCCTCTCTACCCATTAGCAAAACAGAAATTCCACGTCAGTTAGCTGATCCAAGATTTGCTACACCAGGCAAGATTGACATACTTATTGGAGCTGAAGCATTCTTTGAAATAGTTAAGAACGATCAAATTCGTTTATCGTGCAATAATAACCTTACATTTCGCAAAATAGTTTTTTGATACATCGCAACTGGATCTACAGAATCTAATAATCAAGTTCAATGTTGTGGACTAATATCAGAGCCAGAGTCAGTCGATAAGTGTTTACAAAGGTTCTGGCAAATAGAGACTCTAACAGAGGCTCCAAGTTTGGTAAGTAAAGAAGAGGAGTATTGCAAAGATCAGTATCAAAGAACTCACTAACGAAATGAGGACAGGAGATATATTGTGCAGATGGCAACCAAGGACATACAAAACTTTAGAGAGTCAATGAAATTAGCATTGAGGAGATTGAATCAACTGTGGAAGAGACTATCAAGGGACAATCAATTAAAGAGATTATATCAGAATTTCATGAAGGAGTATTTGGATTTGGACCATATGGAAAAGGTGCAAGAGCCTTCTGCTAATCAGGCAGCAAACACCATATGTTATTACCTTCCACATCATGGTGTGTTGAGACCAGACAAAACCACTACAAACTTAATGGAAGTCTTCAACGCATCTGCTCCCACAACTTCTGGACTGAGCCTAAATGATCATCTTTTGAAAGGTGCAGTAAAGGAAGATGTTTTCGAGATTATGACAACATTTCGAAAATATAAGTAGGCATTTACATCAGATATCCAGAAAATGTTTCGTAAAAGTCTAATTGAGCCCTCGCAACAAGATCTCTTAAGAATTGTTTTGAAGAACGAGAAAGATGAAATGCTAGTCACCTACAAACTGAAAACATGGACATACGGGACTGCCAGTGCTCCCTTTCTTGCGGTGAGAACTCTTAAGCAATTGACTCACGATGAAGCAGCAAACTATCCTCTGGCCTCTAAAACCATATTACGAGATATCTACATGGATGACATCGTGTCAGGTGAGCAAGATTTCGATGTTGCCCTCGAACTACAATCTCAGTTGTGCAATATGTTGAGCACATGTGGAATGACACTACACAAATGGAACTCTAATTCAATGAAATTGATGAACAGTAGTTCACCAGAAAATAAAGAACACTGCTATTCTTCAAGTGCGGAACCAACAGTAAAAACCTTAGGCATTATTTGGAAGCCGGTTGAAGATCAGTTCATATTCGAGGTATCGATTTCAGAAAAATTGCTTTATACGAAACGAGAAGTATTGAGTGTCACCGCCAGGCGTTATGACCCCTTGGGTCTTCTAGGACCAGTTATAATTCGAGCGAAGATTTTTCTACAGAAACTGTGGCTCAGTAAGCTCGATTGGGAGGATACTCTACCAGAAAACCTTAACTATGAATAGTTGAACTTTGTATTATCCTTGAAAGCCCTAAACGATCTTAAAGTTAATAGATATATTTTGACAGGTCCCCTTCAAAGAGCTGTTTTGCTAGGATATGCAGATGCCTCGGAGTCAGCTTATGGAGCAGTAGATTACATGCATTGCATAAAGGAAGATGGAACTGGCAAGACACGACTTATTGCTAGTAAATCTCGTGTCGCTCCTCTTAAGGTCATTACAATTCCTCGATTAGAGCTATCAGCTTGTCTTGTACTGTCTCAGCTGATCAAAAAAATACGCTCATGTCTGCAAATGGATATAGCTGAGGTGATCTTACACACAGATTTAACTATTGCCACGCTTGGATCAATACGCCTGCATATCGCCTGAAAACCTTTATTGCGATACGATCTATTACTGAAGGCTGTCACTGGAAACATATAGCTTCCCACTCCAATCCTGCAGACGTAGTTTCTCGGAGTTTAAAATTGCAAAATCTACTATCCATGGAATTATGGTGGATTGGGCCACAATGTCAAATAGCATCATCCGTTGAAAATCAGGATGAATATGTCATCGACACTTACTCAGATGAACAATATCTATCTGAGCTTAAAGAACAATCGGACGTTAATTTAATATCAGTGTCATGTTCTGATCTTAACAATACCTTGTTTGAACTTAATAATAATTATATGAAATTAATTCGCATACTAAGTTATATTTTCCGGTTTCTACATAACATAAGGCATATAACTCGTCGATCCGGACCTTTATCAAGGGAAGAACTCCAGGAGTCCAAAATTTATTTGATCAGCAAGGTACAAGGAATTGCCTTTGCCGAAGAAAAAAAGACACAGAAGTTTGACAATGCTGTTTGGATAGTCAACGGTATGATGATTGACATTCCAAACACCATTGTCAAACTTCTAGGGTTACAGGAAAGCAGTGCTGAACGCCCGACGTACACGTTTTACCGTCTAAAACTTCGGCCTCAACCTCACTAATAATTAGATCCTGAGAAACGACATGCCAAGCCAGCAGAAAACTTTTGATCTATTAATAAATTTTATGTACAGTAGAGTTATTATTAAAATATCAAACTAAAAATGTTATTTAATTCTTGAAAAACCATTTTAACCTATCACTAAATTTAATTTAAATGTATTAAATAAAAACAAATGTAAGAAATTATTTTCACAATAAACTTTATTTTAAAATCACTTTAAAATATTTAAAATTGTCAAAAAAATTTTTGTTGACATATCTTCAATCGAAATTTTTAAAGAAAATTTATATTACATTCAAGTTTAACTTCGTAATTTTATTCTCAAGAAAATGTTCCATTGCGTCTATTGCAATGATAAGACGAATCGACTAATGAATTGTGTATTGTTTCGTGTTCTTGAAAAGCCTTATGGCTGCAGATAGCTTAAAAACAAAAAATGCAATTAAATGGGTATAGATCGTGCATTATAAGATGACCATCCAGGTAAGCTTCACTTTGAAATTGACTATTATACACGAGACAAATGAATAGTCTAAATACAGAATGAGTAGAAAGATCCTGTATTAAACGATTTTGATCTTCGAAACGGCGATTGCTGCTAACATAATCGCTGGAAACTACATTTAAACAAGTCGTTGTATTGTTACTGCTTTTCTTTCCAGTGGAGCAACTTTCATGGGGTATTTGTTACTTCTGTAGTGTCTCCTTCGGATGTCTTCAAAAATGACAATCTAATATACATTCTTCTGGAAAAGATTTATTACATATTTTACATTCGTAGGGTGATTTTCCATTATAGAATCTATGATGATGAGTTAAACACGATGCGTTCTCGAAACATTATTACATATTCTTTACTTCTAGGGATTTTCTTTCATTTCTTTTATGTGGATTCTGAAATGACGATTCAAACTGTTCAATTGAGAAAAACATATATTACATACTATACACTCGTATGGTTTTTCTCCCGTGTGTGTTCTGAGATGACGATTCAAATTGCTCGATTGAGAAAAACATTTATCACACGTTTCACATTTGTATTGTTTTTCTCCCGTGTGGGTTCTGAGATGTCTATTTAAAGTGCTCCATTGAGTAAAGCATTTATCACATGTTTCACATTTGTAGCGTTTCTCTCCTGTATGGATTCTCATATGAATACTTAAATTCTTTTTACTAGCGAACGACTTATTACAAATATTGCATTCGTTAGTCATGGTACTATCAACATCTATAAAAGAAACACTGCAATTTAGAGTTATTCATTTATATTGCAATTTTTCCTTAAATTTCAGTTAATAACTACATATACTGATAGTAATTTACATGTTTTAGCGTACAATTTATAATGCTGATAATTCCTTACATCAAAATGTATTATACAGGTATAAACATAATAACCAAACTATTTAATAAGAGAGTTATTATATTTGCGTATAAAAGTAAATTTCAAAGTAGGCGCATATGTTGTAGTACAGCAGTGGTTCCTAACTAGTTGTACGCGTACTCCGGGGGAGTACGCGAAATTGCGTGACGGGGTACGCGCAGCAATCTAAAATCGGTCGATTTAAAATTTAAATGCATGAAATGAACAAATCAAAAAAACAATGGATGGACTATCAAAAATTCGGCAATTTACATTATGATGTCGAATGAACAAATTTCTTTATTTATAACTAAAAGTATTCTCGAAATTTCATCAAAAAATGCATTTATGACAATACCTATTCTTGCGCAAAAAACAAAAATTACACAATTAACACAATTCGTGTTAATTGTATAATTATCACAATTAATTGTATTGTATTGTATTGTGTAATTAATTGTGTAATTATCACAATTAATCGTATTTTATAATTGTATAATTATAATTAATAATTATAATTAAAAGTACAATTAACACAATTTGTGTTAATTGTATTTCTAATGTTAATTGTACAATTATTATTATCATCATGTCAACGAAGCCGCAATAAAATATTCACTACCATTTTGCACAACAAACCTGTGTGAGAGCGGATTTTTGGCCATGACAATCATGAAAATTAAATATCGTTTCCGACTTCAACTCGAAGATGACTTGAGACTGAAGCTGACCAAAAAAGCAACCAGATTTTACAAAGTTCTGCAAAAAAAATCGTGCACGTTTGTCACATTAAAATTAAATAACCTTATGTTATTTTCATTATTATTAGAATTGTATTGTAAAGGTAATAAAGGTAAAAAAATAACTTATTCTCTTCTTCACTAGCTGTCTACTGTTTATCACTAGCTTCGCCCGCATTATATCGTGGTATTTAGATATTTTCTCGCACTAAATGTAGCCTATGTCCATTTCTATCATGTAAGCTATCTCTGTGCCAAATTTTATTGAAACCTGTTCAGCAGTTTAGACGTGAAAAGGTAACAGCCAGACAGGCGGACAAAATTACCTTCGAATTTATAATATTAGTATGGATTTTAATATGAATTATTGCTATAAGGGGTACGCGACTTTGAGCTCTTTCTTGAAGTGGTCCGCTGGAAAAACTAATTTGGAACCACTGTAGTACAGGATGGGACAAAAGTCACTTTAACATAGAAAGAGTTCGCTATTGTGTAGAGCAGTGTTTCTCAACGGGAGCGATATCGCCCCCATGTGGGCGTTATTCAATATTGAGAGGGGCGATTAGTAACAATTTATATTTTGGAAGCGAAAACCAATTTTCTCGGCGATATAGTAAAATATTACATTAAAAATAATTAGACATTTTATTCGTTATATCGTACAATAATTAAACAAAACATTATACTAGACATCAGTCTATTAAATGCAGTACGAATTTGGCGTTAGTCTTGGCCCTTGACAGCGGAATTTTGAAATGAAGGGGGCGATACTACGAATGGTTTTATTGAAGGGGGGCGACGATTTGTTACAGGTTGAGAAACACTGGGGTAGAACAACACAGGGGTGATTTAAAACATGTTAACTTCATTGTTTAGGCCAAAAAATCTCAAAAATGTGTATATTAAAATGCTGAAAATAAACTTATAAAATAACTAAAAGTAAAAATGTTATATTATTATTACATATAAAAGTTTTTTTCTGCCCACGCTATATAGTCTCAAACTGCTGCAATTTTGATTCTTACCAGAATTACTAAGATAAAAAATTTCTTCTTAAATCTATATCGTTTCACAGTTTTGTTTGCAGTGCCACTTATTATGTAGAAAATTATTTTGATAACTAAATTAGCATATTCACAAAGATTGGCTTATTTGTTGGAACAACAAAGTTTTCTGAGCACCACAGCTTTATAACGACCACCCTGTAATTCACCTTTATTTTTAACTTTAGTTAATAGATATTTGTATCACACTTCATACAAAAAATTTTTCACTAATGGGATCTACCGTAATACTTGAGTTACATTAACATAAAATAAAATCATTTAAATTATTTTTCATTTAACCAAAAATATATATTTTTTAACTGCAATTATCTACATTATTGTATCAATAGAGCCAACAGTAGTAAATAATGAATTGAAAATAAAAATTCTAATCAGGCCTCGTGTCCAATCATATTTATCTAAATTCAGAAATTAGCATTGGAAATAATAAATCAACGTTTACAATATCGATGTCGAACCAAAATTTAATATCGAAATAAGTAATAAAAAATTTAAGCTTTCTCCGAGATTTTAATCTTGATTTTATATTCTACAGAGTAAGTAACTGTTCATGTAATAATTTAGATTACACTTTAAACAATACACATTTATAATTATAAAAGGTATTGTAATTTTAATATATCTGATATACTTACAGAAAAAAACCAGTCGTATTTTTAGTTTCGATTTCTTTCGATTGATACTAACAACTTCCTCTGTCTTCCAACACTTACAAGCACACAACCACGGTTATTTAACACAATTTGCATATGCAAGACTTGTGTTTCAATTTTCATTAACTATAAATGTTATTGAAAATATTATTTTTATATATAATTCTATGTTATAAAGATTACTTTGTGTAATTATATTTGTTTACAGTTAATCCAGTTTCTGTTATTCGTTGGAAAAAGTGTTTCAGGTAAACATTTTCATTATCCACACTACCTGTATGTAAATTAATTTTCCAAATGTTAATATTTTTAGAAAAATTTTATTTGTTTTAATATTTTTTGTATGTGTATAATTAAAATTCAATCTAACATATTTTATATGAATCATTGGATGAAAGAATTTAAGATAGGACTACGAACTATCTGCAATAATTTTGTAAAGTATGGTATTAAATTTATATCAATCCCAAGATTTTACAGTGCTGGATTCTTGTAAAATATCAGATTGTTTATTAAACACAAAACATAAATAGTGTAAGGTCTCTTTTTATGCGGATTATTTTTATGCGATTTTGAAGTTGTGCGGTTTGTATTTCGTCCAAAAATTTTTTGGACAAACATACATATAGGCTTGTTTAGGAGGCCCGCGTACGGACAGACTCCAAAAATCGTGGAACGCTCAAAGCTCACTCCATTTGTTCCACTAACATATAACGTTTATGGATGTAAAGGACAGCTAGATCTATCGTAATCGCCTTAGTTCCTAGCAATTTTTGATATAAATGTTAACATAAAAAATACTTAAAACTGAAAAAAACGAAATTAAACATAAAAAAATTAAACATAAAAAAATTAAACATAAAAAATACTTAAAACTGAAAAAAACGAAAGAAATGCGTTAATTTTGAAGAATAAGCTTCAAAGTTTAACTACCTTTGTCTACAACAAAGTAACTACCTTACTGTGAAATTTAACACCGATGAGTCATTATTTACACATCTGGATGACCTTGAACACAGCTGGAGTTGGATTTCCCGGGGCATTCTCATAGACGTTGCGGGAGGAAAAGTGTTTAAAGTAGGGTGAACAATAGCTAGCCGTATATTTTTAAATATTTTTTAAAAATTTGGAGACTTAAAAAGCATTCGAAAAATTAAAAAAAAAAAAAATTCAGGCCTTAAGGACCTTGTTTTATATAACCTTCCCGAGTTAGCTCGGGCGAGGAACTAAAGGTGGTTTACTAATTAACTCTTCACATCCAGATGTCAGTCATTTGTTTTTAGAGTGAGCTTTTGCAATTCGGGGATTCCCCTTGTACATGATACCATGGACAAGTCGCTATTACATCATTCTGAGTTTCGCATTGAAAGGTATAAACTGTAATTATCTTGAAATTAAATTTTATATGAATTTTTTTCAGACATTCGAAGTGTTATGTATGTAAACCGCCAAGGGATGACCGCTACCGGGAATTGCCCCTTGACCTACTTAGGTCACCCCACACCTCCGACCTCGTGTATGTTCTTTGTCTGAACGAGTTGTCTTTAGTTGTTTGTAACCCCTTGACTTGGACATGACGATACTTTGTTTACTCATAGTTACGTTTATGTTAATAAAGCTAGTTATACACGGGTTCCCAACCTGTGGGTCGCGACCCAGAAGGGGGTCGCGACGGGCTTTCTGTGGGGTCGCTAACTTATAGAGTAAACTAAAAAAAAATATTCACTATAATGCAATTTTTATTTTTAATGGTGTCTTGAAGTTTGAATAATTTTATATATTTTTTTAAAATTAAAATAAGTATAATCTAGGTACGCTATTCTGTCACAGTTGGTTGAAACATGTGTTGAGAGTTTGAGAGGAATAAATTAAATGTTAAGAATAACATGAGGTTGGATAGCCGAGCGGTCAAGGTGGCAACCCACCGCTCTGGGGGACCAGGGTTCGAATCCGAACGGGTCGAAAAATTCCCAGGAATTCTTTGGGGGGTGGTCTGTTCAGATATGTCAGGCCTCGTCCCGCACCATTCAGCAGCCCCATTGTGGGCCTAGCTGAACCCATAATGGGCTTGCAAAAAGAGGCTCTCTTAGTGCCCACAGGGCGGAGAGTTAAAAAAATGTCAGTGGAATAATGCTGGACATTCCAAACATCATTGTTAAACTTCTAGGCTTACAGGAAAGTGGCGCTGAACGTCTGATGTACACGTTTTTGCGTTTGAAACTTCGGCCCAACCTCGCTATTATACTAATAAAAAACTAATTTCGTTGTTTTTTTAATTACCTTATTAAAAATGTCTTTTTCAATTATATCGGGATCGCGGGACACTTGGCTTTTATAAAAAGGGGTCGCCACCCGAAAAAGGTTGGGAACCGTTGTCTTAACCAATCGAGCGTACTATGTTCTCTTTGTGAGTTCAGAACCCGTAACAACCTGTGCAGAGGTCCTCTACCAATTAATTCATTGAAAGACTTGATAAAAAAAATCTAAAGAAACAGTATCTTTAGCAGTTCGATCTGGTAGAGGGCAAAAACCGGTGTCTGCACAGACAGTTATTGATGTTGCGATTGCACTCGTTGAAGGTTGTAACTCCTGGATATAACTACATGTGACTTTTTCCTGTCAGGTTACTTAAAGTCCAAGGTATATCTTGGTGGTGTTTTTAACTTCGTGACCTTGAAGGACAACATTTCTCAAACTGTGATAACATTTGTGACGGAAGGGTCGGCACCTCTTTGGTGCCCTGTCAGGATCACACCACCGCATCTCGGCGGACACGGAAGCCGCGTTATTTAGGTCACGCGAGCGGTCGCGTAACGAAGCGATCAGAGTCGAGATAGAAGGAGAGACAACGCACCGGAAGTGATTCCATCTTAGACTAGATTAACGTTACAAATGTTAATGGGTAATGATAGAGAATACATATCTTACAATATGTTGATAGTAAAGTTCGATAGTAAAGTTAACTGAGCGTTCTCGAGAGAGAGAGTTTACAATTCATACGCGTGGCGATAAATACCTTTTTTGATATCTTGATCTGGATCCAGTCGGTAAGACAGAAAGTTCAGGATGGTAGTGTTAAGTCCAATAGTTCTGATTTTTTCCTTTTATATTAGGCTATTCTTGATATTAGACGATTCTTGATATTCAAAAGCGAAGAGGTATACCAAGGAGCACAAATATTACGTAGAAGTAATCCGATGGAAGAACTGGAGACGACTGACTCACTTTGTTGTTCTTGTATAATGTTGAACTGTTAAAATCGCGATACTGGGTCGAAAGGTGATGAGAAAGCGTCTTTATTATGCCTGAAAACTTAACAGATGTTTAACTCCCAGGTGTAAAAGTTGACAGTTATTGAACGAAAGTATAGCTACACTGTGATCTTATGACACCGTGGAATGAAAGTATGACTACGATGTGATCTTATGACACCGTGGAATGAAAGTATGACTACGATGTGATCTTATGATAAAATGATATAAACACACGGAAAGTCTGGATTTGGATCCTCACACATTCCTAACATGTTACGTTTGGCTATAGAGAACACGGTGTTCATAATGCAATGTGTTATCCAGCAGAACAGTGATCACACTGAAAGAGAGAGAAAATTATTTGCTGATTAATTAAACTTTCATTATTGCACTGGAAGCTCTGTCTGATTATTCATTTGTGTGATTCTTAATTGCAGCTGGGTTTTATGCAAATTCTTAGCTGTTTCTCTAAAACATCGCAAAGTCCATCCGTACCAGCGAATTTGGGTACTAGTACTTTTATCTTCACGGAATCTTTTTCCTATGTCGTCCTTAGTCATACTACCAAATTTGGCGATTGTCTAACTGTTAGATTGCTCTAAAGGTGTCTCTGAGTACCATCAGTTTAATTAACACTTAAATGGTTATTTGGAGGTCCTTACGTGTCATATTTTTACAATTTTCTAAGAATATAAGCATCGTGCGCAGCCGCATATTTATGTAATTTTATTATGTCGCGACTCGCAGCGGGTGCAAAACGTTTGGCGCTATAGCACTTACAAGGATGGAGGTATGTACTTTCTGGGAGTCGCTGGCTTCCACGATACCAGTTACGTTAGTTTTTTTGTGGAAATGTGTTTTTATGGTTTTTTTTTATTTTTACAGATACTTTGCAAAGATGTCACGACCTTGCATCGAAAATTGAAATGACTACCAGAGAATCATTTGAACTGCTAATAGATGATAGATAATATTTTACAAATTGCTAGATCAAGCCAAAATCTCATGAAATAAGTACGTTGTCATTATTATGCTATAAAAAAATGGTAAATATGCTACTAAGTGCAACAATTGTTTGAAATTTATACGCAAAGCGCATAGTTCCACAACAATACTATGTGATAATTGTCGAAACTAAACTCCATAATTTATTTAAATGGTCGTGAGTCTTAAAAGTAGAAGTAATTATATTACCTGTGGTTTTTTAACAAATGATAGTTAGATGCTATAAGAGTTACTTTTTTTGAGATTAGTTTCTTAAAAATAAGAAAAAAATTTTTCGTTAAAGACTTACAATAGGGTAGATTTTTGTATTGTTAAGAAAAACAAACACCAAAAAGTTATAACATTTTTGTCATCTCCTTTATTAATTAATTTCCCCTCTTTTATAAACTTTTCTATGATAGGTGAATCTGCTTTCCGGTATTATTATTTATTTTATCTGTTTGTTTAATTATATTTCATGTGTTCGTATAGTTGTGTTTCATAATTTTTTTCCCTTATTTTCACCATATTTAAGGCCAAGAACACACATGCGTAAAAATGTGAAGCAGAAAACTAATTCAGAAAACAGCTTTTAGTTCAGTTTCTGTGTTCCGCTTTTAAGTCAGGACACACATATGTAAAAATTTTGGCCGAATTGGAAACGGAAATGTAACAACGTCATATGTAGTTTAGTGAAATGGCGCCGTCGGTATTTGATGTTGTTATTTCTTGATGGTTGTATTGCGCTTAATTATTAATGATTTTTAAAAATGATTTTATGAAAAAACCTGCTTTCTTGTAAGCCTAAAAGTTTGACAATAATGCTTGGAATGTCGAGCATGATTTCACAAACTGTTGAAATACCATTGTCAAACTTCTAAGCTTACAGGAAAGAGGCGTTGAACGTCCAACGTTCACGTTTTCGAGTTTAAAACTTTGTGCTCAATATCGCTATTCATTCTGAACTGAGGAACTTTATTAAATTTTAAAACTTTTTTTCACAATTACCCGAATTTACTTGTGAATGAGAATAAACGAGTTATTTACCTACAAGAAAAGTTAGAAAGAAATCTCATAACAAATACCGCAAGAAATTAGATTGGATCAAGAAACAACAACGAAATATGAATCTACAACTAGATCCACAAATGATTCCTTTTGACATCGTCGAGAAAAACACCGCAAAAAGAGGGAGGGATCGATGACGATCGTTATTCGTTGTCATTAAAAGTTCGCACTCTCCGGTGTTGCATTAGAACTCAGATACCTCATCGACCCCAAAGATTTCTTACCCAAGTAACTTTCCTCCATCCTGTCACTGGAATAGCCCGAAAATCAAGACCTTACCAAGTATACCAAGACCTTCTAGACTTTTTCATCGAACCTTCCGAATCATCAATTCGTCTTGTCATGAATTTAAGTCCTCATCCCGATCGGCAACAAAGCGCATCCTAAGATTTTCTACGTGGTAATTATCCACTAGCGAATTTATTCACACTGTCTCTTAAGACATGGACTCACGAGAGTAGATAATATAAAATACTAAGCCTTTCATACAATATTCTAACCTTATAAAAATATGAATAGGGATAGTCATAATGTTCAACTTTTCAATCGTATACAGTCTACGTTCAGGTTATTTCTAAATAGATTATAGTTAATACACAAGTATTTGTTATTGCTAATCTTGTGTTTGGTGCACTTCCTTTAAAACGACCTATCTCGTATCGCCTCCATCACGGTTTTAAACACCTATATACGAAACCGCTCACGCGTAAACGTTATTCGCTGTCGCGATCTCTATGTCTCTTTTAGCAAGCCCATTATGGGTTCAGCGAGGCATACAATGGGGCAGCCAGGTAGTGCGAGATGGACCCCCTGAAAAATTCTTGTGGATTTTTTCATTTCTTACATATTAAACTGTACAAAAAAAAATACAAATAAATTCCCAATTTAAACATTTTTATTATAATACTAGCTTATCCGTCTCGCATTGCTGCGATCTCAGAAAAAACGAAATTCAAGCAAACTCGTTATAATAAAATTCAATTTACATTTTATCATTTTTATTGAAACTTGCGAGAAGCACGGGTTTTCCAAATTTAGCCCACACGCTTGCAGCGATTGTCAGAAGTGCGATATTCCCCATTTTTATATATATATTTTTTAAATCCTTTATAATTTTAATTATTTAATTGCTCCTTCCTCATTTCCTTGGCACGTTGTGAAATTTCTAATAGTTGGATAATAAACCGTTTTATTGTAATTTGTCTTTTTAAATTATTTTGAGTCGATATTAAAATTTGAAAAAGGGGATTCCTAGATCGGTAAAATAGGGGAATTTGAAATCGATCGAACAGTGAAATGCTCGTATAAATGCGCGCCATCTATTGTAGGTTAAATGCACTATGCCGAAGTGTATTAAAAAACTTCCCAAAGTTTTATGGCAATCGGATAAACGGTGTGGTAATGCATGAAGGACAGACACACACACACATACATTCATTTTTATATATATAGATAAACAATAAAATAAATTTGCGTTTGGTGTAAAAATCAAATTATTAAATTCACATTTACCATTCAAATTTTCAAACACATTATTTAATTCAATAAGATACATAACATAACATATTAAAAGTTGAAATAAGTCAAAAATTGAAGAACTTTCATCTTGCTTTTACACGGACCTTAAACATTATTGTAGGTCCTCTGAATATGAGTCCGAAATATATTTTATTGATAATACATAAGAAGAATTAAAAAAAAATAAAGGTATAACATATTGAAGTCGTTTTGATAAGTTTGCGATAAAACAGAACTATTACTTCGCTGAAATAGCGGTAAAATATGATATTTTTGTGGCGATAATTGAAACTTTGTCTAAAATGGTTGTATTGAAAATTCAAATTTTTCACTCATTTGCGCTGTATTGAAATATTGAAAAATCTTTCGTTTTTTACGTTTTCTTGCTATATCTAAGAGTCCTTTTACTTTTATTACTTGCTGTGGACTCAGTAATATTCTAAAGCGTAAATCGATATAAATTTAAAATAAAACATATCAAATTTCAAAGAGTTACATCATCAATTTCTGCATTAAGAATTAAATTGCCATTGCAGTTATTCCTGCATCGTCTTCCAAAATTGTATCCAATTTATACCACTTTTTCATCTAATTGCAGGACTTACGTAAGTAGAATAGGATTAAAATGTTGGAAAATTCAAACTAACAGGCGATCGAATAATTAACGGTCGTTTCCCAACGGCACGCATCTTAAATGCCTAAAAATATTAATAAAAACAAAAGCAATGAATAAATCAAATTATCTGTGCTTTCATTCCAGCTCTGGGGGTAAATAACTCAGTGCGCTCGACACTGACTAGAGGGAACTGATATGATTCTTAACTCCAAATCAATTTGTATTTTAATTATGTTTTTCTTACTTGTTGATTGAAGGAGTTTTATAAATTTCTATTTTTTTAATATTAAACTTGCATAAATTCTATTACTCCTCTTATTATCAGTTAGTTGCTTCTTTGAGGCTAAAGTTTTAGACGCGAAAACGCGTACGTCAGGCGTTCAGCACCGCATTCTTGTTAGCCTAGAAGTTTGACAATGTTGTTTGGATAGTCAGCGGAATCATGCTCGACATTCCAAACACCATTGTCAAACTTCTAGGCTTACAGGAAAGCGGTCTTGACCGTCTAACTTACACGTTTTCGACATTAAAACTTCGGCATCAACCTTGCTAATAATTGGATCGTTATAAACGAAATGCCAAGCTTGCCGAAAACTTTTAATAAATTTATAAATATTCTGTACAATAAAGTTGTTATTAAGTTATCGAACTAAAAATGTTATCTAATTAATTAATAAAAACTACTTTAATCTATCACTAAATTTTGTTTACATGTATTAAATAATAATATAAACAAGAAATTAATTATCTTCACAATAAACTTTATTTTAAAATCACATTATAATACTTAAAATTGTCAATAAACTTTTTAGAAAATTTATGTTATATTCAAGTTGAAATTCATAATTTTATTCTCAAGCAAATGTTGCATTGCGTCTATTGCAATGGTAAGACGAATTGACTAATGAATTGTGTATTCTTTTGTGTTCTTCGAAAGCCTTATGGCTGCAGAAAGCTTAAAAACAAATAATGCAATTAAATGGGTATAGATCGTGCATTATACGATTAACATCCAGGTAAGCTTCAGTTTGAAATTGACCATTACACAAAAGACAAATGAATAGTCTACATTAAGAATGAGTAGAAAGAATCTGAATTTAACGCTTTCGTTCTTCGAAACGACGATTGCTGCTAATATAATCGCTGGAAACTACATTTAAACAAGTCGTTGTATTGTTACTCCCTTTCATTCCAGTGGAGAAATTTTCATGGGATATTTTTTACTTCTGCACCGTCTCCCTCAGATGTCTTATGCAATGACAATTCAATATCCATTTTTAAGGAAAAGATTTATTACATATTTTACATTCGTAGGGTGTGACTCCACTATATAATCTATGATGATAAGTTAAACACGATGCGTTCACAAAACGTTTATTACATATTCCTCACTCGTAGGATTATTCTTTCATGTGGATTTTCATGTGACGATTCAAACTGTTCGAACGAGCAAAACATTTCTTACATGTTGAACATTCGTATGGTTTTTCTCCTGTGTGGGTTCTGAGATGAGACTTGTAATTGCTCAAATAAGCAAAACTTTTATCACATGTTTCACATTTGTAGGGTCTCTCTCCTGTATGGATTCTCATATGATAACTTGCACTCTGTTTACTAGCGAACGACCTATTACAAAGGTTGCATTCGTAGGCCATGGTACTATCAACACCTAAAAAGAAAACACTGCATTTTAGAGCTATTTATTTATTTTGCAATTTTTCTTAAATTATAGTTAATAACCACATATACTGATAGTAATTTACATGTTTTAGCATACAGTTTATCATGCTTACAATTCCTTACATCAAAATATATTTTTCAAGTATAAAAACATAACACTAAACTATTTAATATGAGGGTTTTTATATTTGTGTATAAAAATGAATTTCAAAGTAGACACATATCATGTTGTAGTACAGGGTGGGACAAAAGTCACTTTCCCATAGAAAGAGTTTGCCATTGCGAAGAAGAACACATGGATGATTTAAAACATGTTATCTTTAATGTTTAAACCAAAAAATCTCCAATATATGTATACTAAAATGCTGAAAATAAACTTATAAAATAATTAAAAGTAATAATGGTTGCAACGTTTCAATCATCTTCCACTCTTCATCGTAACTACTTTTTGTGTAGTGAAAAGATATTTTCTTTCTTTTCNTCGTATAACACTTCATACAGAAAATTATTTACTAATCGGGTTTACTAGCTTACTTTAGCATGTAATGAAATCATTCAAATTATCCCTCATTTAACGAAAATATAAATTTTTTAACTGCAATATTCTACATTCTTGTATCAATAGAGCCAAAAGTGGTCAATAATGAATTCAAAATAAGAATTCTGACAGGCCTTGAGTCCAACTACATTCATTCAAATTTAGGAATTAGGAATTTTGATTTCACTTAAAACAATAGAAAGTTTTGATTATAAAAGTTATTCTAACTTTAAAATATCTGAGATACTCACAGAATAAAACCAGTCGTATTTTCACTTTCAATTTCTTTCGATTGATACGAACAATTTCCTCTGTCTTCCAGCACCTACAAGCACACGCACACGTCGGTTATTTACCGCAATTTGCATAAAGAAGTGTTGTATTTAAATTTCGGATAACTTCAAATATTATTTAAAATATTATTTTTATATATATATTTTTATGTTATAAAAATTACTGTGTGTAAATATATTTATTTACAGTTAATCCAGTTTCTGTCATTCGATGAAAAAAGTGTTTTAGATAAACACTTTCTCCATCCACACTACTTGTAGGTAAATTAATTTTCTAAATGTTAATATATTTAGTAAAATTTTATTTGGTTTAATATTTTTTGTATGTATTTAATTACAGTGCAATCCAACATATTTTATATGAATTATAGAATAAAAAAAATTTAAGATAGGACTATATAACTACAGTAGAGCGTCGATTATCCGAATCAATTGGGGACTGGGGTTGTTCCGAAGATCGATATTTTGGTTAACCGATTATATACAAAAAAATATATTAATTTATCCTATGTTAAAATTTTTTTTTCCGTTGCGTGTCGGTTCGCGTTGAATTTTCGTCGATGTTAAGCCTAAAGAAGACTATTGTATCGTTAAAAATTATTTTTTTTTTATTTTGTACGAACAAAATAAATATATTGAAAAATATAAAAACAATAAAAATTTATACATCAGAAGTTAATTTAGTATGAAAAACGTAAAATATTTCAGTAGCCCAAGACATAGCCAAAGAATGCAGTGCCACAGCACTGGCAGAAATTTAAATTTGCCGACTGGAATTCTTTCGGATAATTGACGTTTCGGATGATTGACATTCGGATAATCGACGCTCTACTGTATTTACAATTAGCTTTCTACGGTATAGTATTAAATTTATGTCAAATATATCGTGTAACGATAGAAAAAAAAAGGGAATGACATTATTACAATGTTCATACAATTTGTTTCACTTAATATAAGTGAAAAGCAAACTTTGTTAAATTACAGTAGAAGTTCGTTTATCTGTCACTCATGGATAAGAATTAACAACCTAATTTAAAAGACGTATAGCCTATCGATACTCAGTGAACTGTTGTGGCGTTAACCTACTCTATGCGTGAGTCACTTCCGGTGTCTCTCACTCCATTCACCTGAACGATTGTATCTGCAATGCTCGCGAAACATACGTAACCCTCTTATCTTGACGTAAGTTACACTGGTGTCAGTTCCGACAAAGACCAACACTCGCGAATCACAACTATAAATGATGAAGTAAGTAAATGAAGTTTTAATAAGAACATTGAAGAACTTTAAACAGAGAAATAGGTTTTCCTATATAAAATATGACATTGACTTCCTCCTTGATAAATGGAATTTGTTTTTATTGTTTAGTTTCCTAAAATCTTTAATATTATATATTTAGTTATGAGCGTATGATATTATATATATGCCTTTTATTAGTTAATATTGAATAAAAATATATTTTCCTTGTGACATAACTCAGACTAATGTTTTAATGAATTGTCATCAGCTGAAGAGGAATTTATAGCTAAAATAGATGCTACAACAGCAATTCAAAATGATTAAGTGTGTCTTGCTTTTTAAACACGTCGTGTATGATAAGTCTTACATTAGTCAAGTTGTTGGATTTAACAAGTATAACAAATGAATAGGGCGAAAAGCTTTCATAATTCCTATTAACCATATAATTTGACAGGTATTCCTATTTTTTTATACATCGTAATTAATCAAATTAAATTTATAAATTAATTTTCTTTAAAAGTTGAATTAACAAATTACATGTTTGATTGTTCTCTTTCACTTAATTTACACTTTAATTCATACCGATCTCTTTTTTTAACGTTCCCTTTCCTCCCCCTTCTATAATAATTTTGCATGATTGGTGGATCTTTCTTACGGTGTTATTATTTATTCTATCCGTTTGTTTAATTATATTGATGTGTTCGTATAATTGTTTTTCATAATTATTTTCTTCATACATTGTAAAATTAGTTAGGTCTTTAGTATTCTTTCATCATAAAACGTATAATTTTTTTGATTTTTGCTATTATGTTTATTATAGGTTATTTGGAACAATTCAAAGAATGATTATATGAAATTGCTAGTTAATGAAAACGAATGAAAAGCAATTGCTTTAGAATTTTTAAAAGATCACTCAATTATAATGAAAATAACAATAGAAAATATACTGCTGCCCTTGTTTTACACAATTTCACATTGACAGAAAATGCAAGTATTTACAATCCCCCAGGCTTCTCTGATGATTATGATGATAATTTTAATTTTCATCTACGTTTATGGCGCCAGGTTAAAATATTAATTTTTCACATTGTTCTTTTGGATCTAATATGCATGGTATACATGCAAAATTTTTGCGTGATGAACTAGTTATTCACTTGTGTAATGAAGGATCTGTACCGTGGCAAAATAGCAAGAAATATTCAGGTGTATTATAAAAAATTTTTTAAATAATTAATTTTGTATAAGTTATTATTTGTAATTATACAGTATAACTACTTAAATGTTTCATTAATAAAAATAAAGACAATTATATAAACTTTTAAAAATTATTTTATTACTTAGAGGTTAATTACATTATATAAAATATTTTTCTTGAATTTCAAGGTCTAACATTAATAATTCAATAGTTTTATCGCATTATATTGATCTCTTGCATCCAATTTTTTTTAATCTTAATTTCAAGGATTTGCGAAATAAATCAATTTACTAGGCTGTGACACATTACCTATAATTAAAAATAAATTACCTTTAAATCTGTCATTGTTTTGTACTATGTTATGCAAATATTCAAAAATATGAACTTACAAATCCTATCGAAAAAACTGTTTAATATAATTATAATTAAAATAAATCATAATTAGATATAACTTTGGAAAGAGACGTACATAAAAATAACACAAAATACTCTTTACTTTTCAAATCATAAAAGAATGTACTTTGTCAAATAGCTTCCTACGAGTGGCTAATAGATAAAATCACTAGAAGCGTTATACGATATATTGCTGTGTATCAAATACCCGTTTCTTTTTGACACAGCGTCTACAGGCTAACAATCAGGGAACAAATAAACACTCATATGTTCTGACAAATAGACAAGAAAGCGACATTGACTTGTTTCGCACGAGACAGAATCTACATTAAATCGCGCGTTGTTATAAATACCTTGGATCGAATGAGAACCACACAAGAAGTTGGAGCACACCGAGAACAATTATTGATGAAAGATATGAAAGTCCGGAACAGAAGCAAAATATTACCCAAATCGAAGGAGATAATAATCCGTTATCGGGCAGACGATGTTCCGAATGAGAAGACTCAGAGTTCCACAAAGTAGACATTATATTCGTTGTTCAGCGGACTAATCTGGCACAAAAAATATGATTACATTGATGGCTTACATACAGGCTGGTTGCATGGAATTACCGGATTTTTCTATATAACATTCAAGTAAAAACCGCTTTAATACAGAATGTCATCGTCAATCTCTCTTCGGTTGATCGCCTTTGTGTTGCGTTGCCTTAACCCGTCAAATTCATCTAGAACAATCTTACACACATACTTTCCTATCTACAGACACGTAGTGATGCTTACAAATAATTAAAGAACACCGAAAATCGTTATCTTCAAAAGTTTATAAAACGTTGATATAACTTTACGAAAATGACATTTATTTTAAAAATAATATTAATCCTAAACATTCGAATAATAATTAGATAACGTCACGCAACGACTAATGAAGTTCGTTTTTACGTTAATTGCAAATGACATAAAATAAATATATCCAATTAAAATTTTAATTAAAAGTATTCATAAATTTTAACTCATTACTGATCCGTAACAGGAAATTATTTCAATTTGTTTATTTATTTATTCTAGTTTTCATTTTTACCTCGCTTTTAGAGTAAAGGGAGAATATTTCAAGTCTTTCAATAACTCTTTTGTATTCATGGTTTAAAGGGTAGAGTTATTCGTAAGTATAAAATTATTTTCTATGAATATTTAATTTTAAGTGTTTCACATATTTGGTTTGTTTGCGGAAAAAACAAAAAGGGTTATCTGCCACTCCGGGTGACTTTTAAATGAAAAACTAGCTTCTATTTAAGTGTTAGACAGGAAAAAAACCAAAATAACTCAACGTGACAAACTCGTAGCCAAGACTAGCATTCACTGATATTTTCTTCTTTTATTCTGTTGAATACGTGTAACGGATTTAAATGCGCACGTCAGTTAGTTAAAATATAATAGTATTTGTTTCTTTATTTTATACAGAAGGCCACTCTTTAGTTTAATTATTTTAAGACGTACAGATGGCAATTCAAAAACATATGTTTTTAATTAAACATATATATTTTAGTGTAGCGCAGTGTTTTTCAACCTCTAACGAATCGTCGCCCCCTTCAACGTAGTATCGCCCCTTCAATAATACCGTTACATAGTCTCGCCCTCTTCACTTCAAAATTCCAATGTCTAAGGGTAACGCCAAATTCGTACTGCATTGAATAGACTTGTGACTAGTATAATGTTATTTGTTGAATTACTGTTCGATATAACGAATAAAACATCTAATTATTCTTAATATAATGTTTTACTATATCGCCTAGAAAATTGTTTTCCACTCCCCGAAAATATAAATTGTTACTAATCGCCCCCTCAACATGAAAACACGCCCACATGGGGCGATATCGCCCCCGTTGAGAAACACTGGTCTAGCGTATAGTTATATGTTTGTGAAAAAAAAAACAAAAAACTGATCTATCCTATCTTAATATCACACAGGAAAAGTGTGGCGATGGGTCAAATAAACACCCCAAAAGATTGTACTTTTCTAAACATAGGACATGTTGAAACGTCAAATAGGAAAAGAAGTACACTATTTGTATGTTTAAATGCACGCCAGCCGTAAGCGGGCGTGTAAGGCGTGCACCGCATGCGGGTGGCACGTCCAGGGGGCGGCAATTACAATATCTTCTTATTAATGACATAATTTCAACATTTTCGAACACAGCAATAGCACCAAGAATATTATTTACATTGCCTGT